TGTTGTGCTCACCCTTTCTTTACTACTCTCTATATACCACACTCCACACCTTTCTCCACCTCTCCTCCCCTCACTCCTCCTCTTTCTCTCCACCTCTCCGCCTCTCCGTCTTTATTAATGGCTCCTCGCGCTGTCACTCCCATTTGTCACCGCTGCTGCTGTTTCCCCAAACCGCACGCCTGTTTGATGAATAAAGATGGCTCACATAACTTTCAGTCGCCATGGAGACGGTGCGCTCGCAGGGATTTAAGAGGAAGGGGCCGGTGCCAGGATCTGTGAGGAATGTTCCGGCATGCTCCAGAGCCTTTCGGAGAGGGCCGCAGGAGCACAGAGCAGTGATCTTTCTGTTTCACCACAAAACACAGCCATGCTCAGAGCCTCCCTGCTGCCTGACACTGCCTCCCAGGCAAACATCCACTATCCCTGTCTGTCCCACTCAGAAATACAGCAGAGCCCCAGGGGAGCGCACTCCCACTTAAATTGCTCTTTATGAATTGCTCACCTGGCGTGCTTTATCATTAGTGGGCCATAGCCTTCCTAACATTATGAGCAATTGGATCTTGAATGGGTCTTCATATATACTAACACACAAGCAGGCATGCAAACATACACACACCTATGCTTGTTTTATACAATAAAAGGACACCAGATCACACATATGTCTTAATATTTATTATTAGGGGTGGGGAAAAATCGATTCTTAGATGTATCGCGATGCAGATGTGGATGATTCTGAATCGATTCACAAATGTCAAAAATTGATTTTTTAAATTTCAATTTATAACGTAATGTTGATGGAACGCAAAAGGCGGAACTTGAAAGTGCGAAAGTGCAGCGCCCGGACAGTCTGTGGTGGCACATAACAAAAACACAACCCGGATGAGCAAGAAATCCGACCAGCACCCTCTGCATTAAAAGCCAGGTTAGGTCAGGAGTCACAACCCAAATGTTAAGAAGAGCCATTTTGTCCTTTCAACAAAAATCAAACCACCTTGGGAGCCGCAACATTTAATGTCCAGTATGTCTCAGTATGTGATAATGTCCTAGTATAGGCTAAACAATATAAACGAAAACGCAGATTTACTTCGCTCTGCTTTAAGCTTTAGCAATAGCTGCTTTCCTCCCATCTCCACCAGTAAACTTTTCCTCAAAAGTAGATCAGTTTCTTATAAAATGTCTCTCAACGTTTGACTGTTTTATGAGGCTGAAGTCGCTTTTCATTTGCCAGCTTCTCATTCGAATTTTCCCGTTCCACCTTAAGTTCTGCCTGAGGCACCAGAATGTAAATGCGGCACCATGTAAGGTGGAACGGGAAAACTCGAAAGAGAAGCTGACTTCATCTTCGCAACTTTTTAGTGTTTGACAGTCTCTCATTGCAGGTTTAACGTTCCAGGAAACCAACTGAACTGCTTATAAATGCGAATAAGTCCATTCGCCTCCAAATGTTTGTCTTAAATCTCTCTTTGTCTTTTCGTTAGCTACTAGCCAGGCAAGACCGTGTTGCTATGTGACCTGCAGTCTGCATGCCAGTTCACAGTCGTTGAGAGCCAGGGCTTTTGCGCTATGTTGTGCACTTTGAAGCCAAGATACAGCGTCCCGTCTTGATGATATTTTACTGACACAACGATCCGCACTCTCTACAACAAGACCAAAACAAGTTACAAAAGCAAAAAATATAAAAGAAAACGGGTAGGACGGCTGTAACCTGCTGCGTGGACGTCTATTGCCACAGGATCTAATTTCACCGTAACTGCGCATTTTATCACAGATGAGTGGCAGCCAGTGTTTCATGTGCTCCAAACAAGAGCAGTGAATTAGTGCCTTCTAGTTCACCTGCCACATCACATCACCATTTGTTTTATTAACAAAAGATATTGGAAGTAAATTCATTATGGATCATTACAAATACTTTGCTTTAAAAGTACCAAGTCCTCACAAAAAAGAAATAATGTGTAGAAAAAAAGATGCATCAAGATGCATCGATAATCATTTTATAATTGCATCGCAGCCCTTTGAATCGTAATCTAATCGAATTGTGCGGTGCCTAGAGATTCCGACCCCTATTCTTCATTTATGGATCATTCTATTAAACTGGTCCAAATCAGAGTTGAAAACACATTTGGAACTTGTAACTGACTTGGACTTTAGACTAAAATCCTTTAGCTTTGAATGACCCTATACGTTAATTATGTTTATTTCGTTAAAATCAAACATTCCATTTTGTCATTAACAAAGCAATCACTTCACTACCAAAACTTCACTACCAAAGGTTTTGGTGGTGACTGTTTCGGTAGTTATAATTTTAGCTCATTTTGAGCAGAACTCAAAAACGCTAGCCAGTACAAGACTAGCAAACACAGCTTTGGACAGTTGTGAACACAAAATATCATAATGTCATTAAAACACAAAAAATACACTTGGTTGCAGAAAATATGTGTTTCAGTAGTGACGACTCACAAGATTAAATGCTGATTTTCAGACGTTGGGACACATTTAATTCAAAACAACGAGATCTAACTGCTCACCATGTGGCCATGAGGGGCTGGGACATAGATATACATACCTCGTTGTTTGTTGGGCTCTATCTGAGGCGATACATCTGCGTTCCCGCCATGTTGGAGCAGTCAAGATCTGCTTGTGAACCAATTCACTTGTATTGAGAGATGATGAGTTCTCAGGATTAAATCGGCCACAACTTCCTTATTACCTTAATATAAACCGGAGAAAAAACAATCACATCAACTGTGATGTGGGTTCTGTGTGCCTCACCAACCACACAGCCATATCTACACATAAACATCTCACAAACAATACCCATCACACAAATATGAGCGTGGGTCGCTTCGTTGCCTCCCTTATATAATCCTATTCCACTTCCTGGGTGCAATATTCTTGAAATAGTGTAATTCTGGACAATATCTTTCTTAAGCTGCTGCTTTGTAACTGTACTAAATGCAGTCCAGCAGCGATGTTGACCGCCCTAAAATGGCGGCGCCATTTACTTTCTTTATTGAATACCTTGGGATTAAATAGATCATAACATAATCCATGTAAATATCTGTAGTCTGAATACTTAATGGTTTTTAACTTAACTGTATTTTCTCTGGTTTGCAGATATTCTTACAAAGAAGATTTTAGTTTGACAAACACACAGACAGGCACATGCACATGCACAGATGTATGCTGTTTTTCTGTTTAATGTGAATGAAATGCTGCTAGAAGTGAGTGAAGGACAGTGATACTCCTCAAGGTTAATGAGATCTTTCAGGCAGGAGGTGTGGAGATGGAACAACAGCATGGGGCTGTGGGGTAGAAGGGGATTGGCTACTTCAATGGGATTAAAACAGGGCTTTTTTCAGCTTCAACTGAGTTAGCAATGGGAGGCACAAGTAGATGGGTCATTTTCTATAGTCATAATGTACATGTAACATAAATATACATGTTTATTCATAATTATCTGTCACAGTAGCTTCAGCTGTTATTTTTATAGTGGCTTTTAAAACACTTGCAAACAATTAATCAAAATATGTTACCTGTTAGAAGAGGCACAAGGGCACTAATCAAATGGGCAAGCTTATCCATACTGCAAACTGTCACTCAGATATTTAGCTTTCATTATTTACAACATTCACAAGCTTTTTAAAATGCAAGGAAAATTTTATGCTGATCAGTTTTGCTGATAATGTAAATAGAAGCATATGGCAAGTTTATGCAAGTGGTTATTTAAAGGTGCAGTATACGATTCTGGAGAACAATTGTTGATATTTGAACTCAACAGCAAAACAAATACACCCCCCCCTTCAGTTCTCCTTCAGAAGCTCCGCCCCCCAAAATCCATGGATGCACATTGCCAAGGCAAACGACACTGGGCTAGCAAACTTGTTTTTTTAGATCTTTGTGGCGATAAAATCCTTCACAAAAATGTTGTACAGACAAATACCGTGATAAAACGTTAGAGTGAACAACCATACAGCAAGTAATGCAATTAATGTTGGCTAGATTGTGGGTTAGTAAACTGTCACTGCAATTGTTGCTGTGAACTGACCTATTGTTTCTGTGAATCAGTAAAAAATAAGTTAAAGTTACCCACCTGTCAGACAAACACAGATCAGCCTCCTTATCACTTTCAACTCTCGTTGAAGCTGAAGTCAACTTTTTTTCACCACCTTCTTGTTCGAGTTCTTCTGTTCCACCTTAAATGGTGCAGCAGTTACATTCAGGTGCACATCTTATTCTTGTGGCAAGTGACAATTTCTGAATCATTGTGTGCCTCAAACAGCATGAACAATAAAGTCTTATGAAGTAGCACTGTGAGTTAGTGATGACCTAAACATTGTAAATACAAACACTAAGGGTGAGATGAGAATAACAGCAATGAATGCTTATTCTTAATGAATACACTTTGAATCAGTGATGTAACTGATGGCAGGTTGGATTGGGGGTGAAGGGGCATGTTAGTCACATGGAAATCTTTATTGGGCCCCTCTTATACACACTGACATAATTGTGCACAGGAATATATAATTTTCTAAAACTATTTACATTTACTGGGGCCCTTAAGTCCCTAGCAAACCCACCATGAATTTGAATCTTTAACATGACTTCATTACATTTCTAAACAAGTTAAAACAGCATTTAGGTTATAAACTGAATCAAAGAAAGACACTATGATGTAAATGTGCAAAAACTAAACAAAAAAGAAGTAAAATATATTTTACATCAACACGATTAGTGCCAAAAGTAAGTAAACTAAGATACAAAACTGGATGTTTCGATCACAGCTAATTCAAAACATCATTTTTTTTTTGGTGTAGTATCACCTGGTTCACTCTGTCTTTCTTCATGTAACACCACACCCAGCAGGCTGACTGGAATAAGGAAGCAGTTCAGGCCCACATCTTGTCACACCTTCAGATCAGACCTGCGGTGTGTGTCAAGACGTTGTCACCAGTCTCATCAGAAAGAGGATAAACTATACTGAGCCCTCACGCTCTCTCGCCCCATTTTGTTGGCTATGTTTAGCATGCTAGCATGCTAGGACGTGAGTAGGGATATAAACACAGCAGTTGGCAAAGGAGGAGCAGCACTAGTCAAGATGCCCTGTTAACAGCAGCATGGTAAGTGCTTGATACATTGTGTACAAAATTTGACATTAATTCACATTTTACTCCTTAAGAAATCACTTTCTACACTAGCATTTCCAGAGATTCTGGGTGAAATCTGCTACTGCATGTTGTAAAGGATGTTTTTTATCTATGTTTTAGTTCCAAGGCACAACACCCCATTCAAAATACATGCCAGTAATCTAAGTTTCAGCCATCTAAGACACGTTATGGGTTCTGCAGAAAGCAAAGAAAAGATGTACTGTACCAGGTACATGAACGGGGGTGGACCTCTGCCACTGCCTGAGCAAGGTATGTTTCTGTATTCTGTTTTCATCATAAACTGTACAAGTACAGTACAGTATTCATAGCACCCTGCATTTTTTTCAGTTGACAGAAGCATCAATGGAACAAGCACTTTTAAACGAGGCTCTGAAGTAGTGGAGGGAGATCAACCAGATGGAGGCCAAATGACAGTGACGGTACAAAGGAGGAGTGTTGAAGGGTACCCAGACTGTGACACCTTACAGATCAACTTTGTGTTTGAGGATGGAATACAGACGGTTAGTTAAAATGTTTTGTGGTCATTTTAATCTCGAGTCTTTCATCTGATTATCATATTTAGACACTCATAGCGCCCTGCATGCATGGAATAGTTTCACTCTGCTGCGTTTAGCTAGAAGCAGCTGCAGGGACATTCCTCCGTTCTCTCACTCAGCTCTGTGGAATCTGGCTCAGCCTGTTCTTCATGCACTGCCACAGGGCAACAGTACAGGCTGGCTGATGCTACAATAGCAACTGCACACATATAAAAATGGATATCCCCTATCACTTACACACAAGCATGTTCCACTTTAAGGGATGTTGATTGTATGCAGAGTTGGAAACATGCAATAAGTAAATCATTTTCCTCACTCAATCAAGCAAAATAAAATACCATGCAATGAAAACAAAATGCTTCTCTTATTCTTTACTGTGTTGCTAATTTAGAAAGGAGGCATGCTCACCTCCTGATAATGTTCCCTCCTTACCTCTGTAGGAAAAGCATCCTAATCCAGGGCAGAAGTATTATGGGTTGAGCACAGTGGCCTTTCTGCCTATGAACAATGAGGGGACGAAGGTTTTCAAGCTGTTGGAAGTAGCATTCCAGTGCAAGCTGCTGTTCAAAGTGGCAACCACTAACAGTGGAGAAGAATGCGTCACCTATACAGATATTCCCTTAAAAATCAGGGAGAGCGGAGGACCTGAGAGGTGAGAACTCTGTGAAATTGCTTTGAGTGATTCTGATCATCCAGTACACTTAACAAGCAAGTAGCAACATTATAAGGATGCTTTTTTGACTTTTGTAAATGCCTTGTTTATGTCATGCAAAGCTCTATTCAAGCTGGATTAGTTTCACCAAGATACTTGTAATTTAAGTGATTACTGTGATTTTAGTCCAGAACAAAATTGCAATGTCCTTCTGTAATTCGCTGAGCTCAGAACTCCATCAGTAATTGTAGTCCTGTTCTAATTGACCTCATGGTAATGCAATAACACAACTTGACATGCCCCATGTTGTTGTTGTCATTGGGTGTGGCGCCTGTGCCAATGTTGACAATTACACATGACATTTTATTCTACATGTTTAGTGGACTTACACAGATAATTAATATATATAGCTAATAAATACCATATGAATTAGCCAGTCAAATTCCTTTTATTATTGAACATAATGTGGTAAAACTAATCCAGCTCAAATAATACATAAGCTGAAATAGGCCTAAATAAGAGCTATGAACAGCTGACCTTCTTACACAACATTCTCCTTGTTAGCTATGGTTATCCAGACCCAAACTATCTGAAAACTGTCTTGAAGATCCTGAAATCTAAAGGTATCAAATGAGAGGAGCAGCTAAAGGATGGACTGACATACTCAGCATGATTCTAACTGGACTGTGTGTGGGATTTGGTCATTTGAGATTCAAGGATGTCAAGTTTCACAACAAGAAATTACATTTTTGTCTTGATGAATAAGCATGTGATAAACGTGGCCACATACAGTAAACATTAAAAGGTGCTAAGGTGTGTTTTGAAAGCTTTGTTTTAAAAGAAGGGATAAGAATGTGTTCTGCCATATCATTGGACTTACTGGGTGTGTATATATACATATATATATATATATTTTTTTTTTTTCTTATTGTGCAATATGTTACATGTTAGTTTTTAAATATATTCCTTTCTTTCTTTCCTACTTTTGTTTCTTGAGTCTAACTTCTGTCTCGCTCTAAAATAGGTCAATTATGTTGCTTCCCAAATAATCATTTAAAATATTTCCGTGGTTGCATGGCAAAGGACTTTATGCATTATAAGAGGCTTACTCATCATGCATCTGATCATCAGGTGCCACAGCAGTCCAAGGCTACTGGAACTAGGGGAGGAAAACTTCTACTTTCAGCTGGTCAGATGATAATAACTCTTTTTTGCAAACAGTAGCATGGCCAGGAGAGGCAGAAAGAAGGAACGCTTACCTACATACTTGTCTGCATGTCCTTTCTTGCCTAACTACTCTCTGCGGTCTCTCTCTGACCTCTAAAATGATCTTCAATGATGTGATAGTACTGCTAAAGCTCTCTTCATGCTTAATTATTTGGTTTCACTACATTATTTACATATAATTATGTTATATGTTATATATTATATATTAATGTGTTTGTATATCATTAATCAACTAAATACACATCTCTTGCATGGCATGAGATAGAAAAACCTACCCATGTAAATATATATATATATATATATATATATATATATATATATATATATATAATTATAAAATAATGCTCTTACTATGTTTATTTCAGATGTAATTCTCTGGAGTAATTATGAATCCAATTTCTTCAATGTATTGATTTTCAAAATTAAAGACTGACTGCAGTGTATAGTTTTTCATCTCTTCTACTAATTAGTCAAAATCCAAATGGATTTATGTTTTGACATAAGTAGTGTAGAGGGACAAAACCCGTTTTTTTGCCTCTCACGTTTCAGACTCTAAGGACGTTATATTTGATTCATCAAGTAGGATGGGGAGTGTAAATTAACAACACCCAGTAATGGGAAAAAGTGAACATTAAATGTTCTCAATTGACATTCATTTGTTAATATGGATTTACCACAGATCCATTCTTCCTCTAGCCAGAGGGAAAGCAACATCAGAAGCCTCCTTTGTGAAGTAAACACCACTGGTAGATATATATTTTTGTCTGTCTGCTACCCGTCCGGCAGATTGCAGAGTGTGAACTTTCCCAGGATGACGGAGGCCCTTCTGTTCTCTTCAAACTGAATTATGGGCTGGGCTTCATACAGACAATAAAGTCTAATCGGATTGGCGGGCCCCATTAAAGAGGCCTCTGTCATCTCCACGGGCGTTCTTAAACCACTTTCTCCTGGACGCTCCACCAGGAGTCATCTGTCCCAACTGTCAGCCTCCACCGCCGTCGTGACAGCTATCAAATCTAGCTTTGCTACATCACCTCTTCTTCCTCATCCTCTACTACCCTCCATGCCTTTAACTCCCTCTTCTACTGAAGACGCAGAGGAGAAAACCAGCCAGTCATCTGAATGTGTCACCATTGCCCACATATAAAAAGAATGTTCATCCATACTTTGTTGGAATCACACACAGGACTTGCTGGTGTAGTGTAACTCTCTAATTGATGCTGCTGCTGTCTCTCCGTGTTTGACTCTGGCTTTTTTAGCCCCACTTAACTGCATTTTAACTGTTTAATAATGACAGACAATCCATATGCTTTGTCACAGAGCAGCTCACATCAATGTAAACATTGGCTATGAGCTAAAATCATCCTTTACTAATGACTGTCTCATAGGAAGTAGCCTACAGCTCCTTTATTGGGACAAAACAAAGCTTGCATTTCCAGCAGAACATGTTCTCATTCTTCCCTGTTTTACTTTGCGTCTTCTCTCCCAGAGGCAGGCTAAGCGGTCTTCAGCTCCCTAGTTAGCTGTGATGAATGGGCTAGAGGCTTGTTTTCATTAGGCTCTTTAATTTGGAGCACAATTAGACTTTATCCTCTTTAGAAGACAAAGCAGATTCTGAAGCTGTTAATTAAAAGCACGGAGTCGCAGACGCTGAAGATGGATGCGGCTGCTGGGTCTCTACTCGGCGTATGGTTGAGCCCAAAGAGTCACCTTCTCTCTTTCTTTGTAAGCCCTTGCCACCACACTCACCCCACCTTACTCATTCTCATAAGTGACTGAGTGTAACTGAGTGATTTTATGTTATACTCACATTGCAGATTTATACAACTGAATTGGTTAAATATTTTACAATATCCACTTTTCTTACCAACGTGAGCAGAAAAATATTAAACAAGAATAAAAGTGTCAACATGCAGCTAGAGCATCTGATTAAAGAGCATGGTTAATAATATCCATAATAAGTGCACACATCTGAGTGATGTGTCATCTTTGTAGGCCTACATCCAGTAGTTGTAGAAGTTGCTAATACACATCATCAAAATGCCACCTGTTTGACCAGCTTTTTTTCTGCACAGATGTCAGGAAAGTGCATTGTTCTAGATCAGCACGAGATAAACTCAGTGGTGAACCGTGACTATAAGGGTGAGGCCTTCAGTTTGAAAAAAGAAAGAAACACCTCTCTATAACAATACTCATTTCCCCTATGGGTCTATTCTAAAACTATGTAATCTTACAGTATTCATTTTAGATTAAACACAGACATTTAAAGCTTGTAAGACATTCAGTGTTTTGTCTGAAGATTGTATCAGGAAAAAACACATTTCACCTTGTATGTAGCAGTTTTACACTGACTCCTTCAGTAAAGAGACATTGTGTAGAGCTGTCACCACTGTTTTACATTTTTAACATCAGACCGAAACCTGGTTAGGCTACAGCACATATTTCCATGAGTGATGTTTTTTCTTGGGCTCTCTTTTGGAAATCAAAACGTGTTGGTTGATTTCTCTGTCACTTCCTAATTATGTTGGTAGATAATCTAACTCCAGCTTCTGAAGGCCTAACAAATGGGATACCATAGGGGAAAAAATCCTGATTGTACAATTTTCCATAGGACTATTCAAGATTTTAACTCTTTTGTTTCCAACCAATTCTCATCAAATGATAAAATATGTATTAAGAGTATTACTACAATTACAGTGTTTAAATACAACAAGAATTATAAATTTAATACATGAGAACAAACTAAACATTACAGACATGATTTTTTTTAAATACACATTAAATACATAATTTCACTTTATAAAATGACTTAAAACAAGTTTAAAAACCCTAGAAACAAGTCAAAAATACTTAGAACAATAGATATATTCACTAGATATAAGATGATTTCACTTGCCAAGAAACCATATTTGAAGTTTTTGAACTATGGTGTATATGCACTTAGGGTCAGAGCTGAGGACCACTGCTATAGAAGCTATGGAGAGTGCACACTTTTTCAAAACAACAGGTAGCTAAGCAAATGACATCCATGGTGACATTGTTTTTTGAGACTTCGTGTGTCATGAGCTTCTGTGAGCCATCAAAAGCTAGAGGGTTTGTTGTGACAGAGGGAGCACATCCCATTTGTGTCATGGTGTGTCCTTTTTACAGGCCCTATAAACTTTGCTGACAGGGAGGAAGAGTGACAATACACATTGCTTTAGCCCGAATTGTTTCCGTAAAAAAAGGACGGCAGTTGCCACAAAGGTGAGGAGAGTCAATCTTACAAAGGAAATGGTTTATGAAGCGATAAATCTTCAGCAAGAGATGGATTGAGTGTTTTAGCCACTGCTTCTTTTTGTACTGATGGGACGGGGTTTTACCTTTAGGTTATCAGAGAGCCAAAATGAGAAGTTATGTGAGAGGCAGGAAATACATGGAGGACACTCAGCCTATCCTCAGGACAAGTGAACTTTTATAAAACAACAGTAGATGTGTTCAAGCATTTTTCTTCATGAGGAACAGCACGCAGGTTATTTTGAGATCCACCTCTGACCTAGATGCTCTTGCATAATGTAGAAATGTTTCTTAATATTAGTTTCAAATGCTCAAAGAAGTGGTGAGAGAGAAAGAGAGAGAGGGAATAAAGATACATCTTTGTGATGTATAGCTCAGTGTCTCTGTTAGTCCTCTCAGAGGAATCCGATGTCATGCTTTCATAAAGCCACCAACACAAACCCTTTCACGCCTCGCCATTCATCTATGGAGCAGGTCTCCTTTGTTTCTCTTCGTGGCCTCACTCTTTTCATCAGCCACAGAGACCTGTCGGACACCCGGGGCATGTGGGCCCGCACTGCGCTCCCCTCATAGGGCCAAATCAAAGCAGCCACAGATCAGACTTTATGATAACCCACAGGCTCTTTGTGGCCTAAGGTTATTCCCTTTCTGCCTCACCCTGCCATGCACACGGTCTCAGAATGTGCTGATATCTCTCTTAAAGCTGAGTGACACCAGAGCTTCTAAAGAAGCACAGATATGACCTTGTGATACCATTGCACCTTCTCTTCATGTGGCCTTTAGCTGGAGCAGAGCCTCAGTAGAGAGGCCAGATTCAGAGATAGGTGGATTTTTTCATGCTATTCTTATTCTCAGACCCTTTCAGGTTCAGGTCTTCCACACAAAGAGCAATACAAAACAGACTGGAGTGCTTTTGGGACGTCATTTCACAGAAAGCTGTCCCTAACATCAGAGAAATTGTTAAGTGATTTTACTGTGAGTATCCTATGCTTTGTGATCTGTATAGGCCTCTCTGGCTATAGAGCTATAGAGTGCATATAAAAAGATAAAGCATACAATGAAGCATCTATGAAGGAATGAATTAATGATTTTTTTTAGGCTGAAAGTACATACAACACTGCACTGTAGACAAGGAGGAATCAGGAACCAAACCTCTGTTCTTCTGACTAGCTCAGATAATATCTACTACTAGGTAATTCTTCTTTATGTTACATTAACGCTTGTTTGTATTTATTCTAATATTTTTTACAAGCAAAAACACTAAGTTTGCTTAGCTGGCTAAGATTGTGCACAGGACTCTACGTAGACAATGGAATCTACACAGAATTTACAGCACATAATAAGCAAAAGGCAAAGTGAATATTATGTTAGATGATCTCTACACATAAAAAACATACTGATTTGCTTGCATGCTGATAAAGAACCACTATAAAGAAAGATAATGTATCTGCATCAAATTAATACATAAATCTTTCTGTATGACTACATTTACGATCTGTGGGAAGTTTGTATCTATAGGAACAGATATTTTGAAGTCATCATCTACAAACTCAACAGTAATTTAGTCTCACTGATATTTTTGCTTCAGTTCGACACATTAGTGGCTTGTTTCAGGTATCAAAGGTGAGTTGGAAAGGGGGTTTTGTTAGCAGGTCCACCATCCATATTCCTTATGAGACATTCAATATTGGGCCCAATAAAGCCAGGCTGAAGTGCTCTATCTTTCAGAGCACACCAGTGGGACCAGTAAACTATGCTGCCCTGTTTCTCAATTCTTGTAAAGAATGATAGAGGTGTTGGACAACATCTGGTACTGTAGACACAAAGAGCAAGTTAGTACACTTCCAAGAAATTCTATTCAAATGGCAAAAATCAATCTAATGTTGGTTCTATACCTGTATAACAGACATGCTGTGTGTTCCCATTGTAAGGGTGTGGATTGTAGCGTTTTAATGTTGTGGTGTTATAGACTGTTAAGCTCTGTAACATCCTGGCATTGGACCATAAAACTTTTCATAGTGAAACAATGGGCTAGTAACTTCGAATGCCCCTTGGATTAGAGATCCCACTCATAAAACTGGATTTCAGCTTGTTCTGGAGGACCAACAAACACTTGTGGACTTCTCACTACCTTCCCGTATGCTATGCGTTCCTCTGGGTGGCTGAGCCTCAACTTAACTGCCCAAACTCCCAGCACTTTGTGATTAATGACCTTTAAGGTGACAAATCACCACGGTAACACGGCATTGGAATAGAGGAGCACTGGGCTGGCCTCCCCTAAATCGATGCTCCATTGTTCTCTCTCTCTCTCTTTCTCTCCCTCGCTCTAGCTCTCCCTAATTTTCTGTGGCTCTCTAGAGCAGTTTAATAGGGACAACGCCACCCAGATCTGTAAGTGGGATGCAGGTTTTGCAAGGTTTGGATTCTTGAAAATTTTAACACCTTAAATTCCCAGAATTATTGCATCCTTGAGATTATTATTCAGTAATTACCTGTAAATCTATGCAAACACTTTCAGTTATTCTAGTTTTAGGACTTAAAGCATAGGCTTGCTGACAGGTGCTGGTTAAGCTCTGATATACAGTTTAACAGGAATATACTGCGTGTTTTGCTTTAAAGGAATATTTTTGAAAATAAATGAGAAAAATTGCATTTAAATTTGATTTCTGGCTTTTTGTCATATTATAGCAATTTGAATTTAGAAACCTAGGAATGTAAAATTACATTACATTAAGTGGAATTGCTTATTCTCTTACTCTTTTGGCACTGCCAGCAGGACTGACATAGAGTTTATTTTG